GATGATGGCCATTTCGGTCGAAACTAGTCGAGGAATTTAAATGGAATAATAATAATAATAAAAAAACGAAAGAATATTAATCTACAACCCAGTGTGTCTAATGATTTTAATTTTTTAATTTTTTAATTTTTTAATTTTTAATTTTCTTATTGTTCAAAATATATATATATATATATATATATATATACACACTTGATAACATTGCAGGTTATTTCTAAGTAATATAAATCTAAACTCTGCTGGTTCACAGCTTGTGATTTGTCTTTAATGAAACTTGCATATATATATATATATATATATATATATATATATATATACAGTGGGGGGAAATAAATATTCGTACACTTGAAAAATTGTATTTTTATAAATGTAAAAGCCTTAAATAAAATAAATCTCGGAACATTTTATGTATAAAGACACATACTATTAAAAAATAATAATAAACTTAATTCTTATTCTAACAGAAATTAATGCATTTTTAAAATTTTAACTGGTGAAAAAAGTATTCCTACAAACCAATTATTAGAATAAAATAATCAATTAGTTATGAAAAAAAGTATGTTCTAGAATGTTCCAGTAAAGTTATGAGTAATTATAGTTAATGCTATTAGCCATTATCAGAGAATTCTGCAATTTCTAGTCTTACGAGAAGGTTCTAATAATGCCTAAAAGTAAAGAATTGACTATTTCACAAAAACAACACATTTTGTCTCTTTGGAAAGATGGGAATAGTTACAGAACGTTTTCTAACAACCTGAATATTCCTTTTACTACAATTGCTTCATTAATTGCAAGGTTTAAAACTCGTAACAGTGTCGAAAACCAAAGACGAACAGGTGCTCCAAGGAAGATTTCTCTAAGATCAGCAAGGATATTAGGACACCAGATCCAACAAAATCCGAGAAGAGCTGCAGGAACATCTGCGTGCATTAGGGATTAAAGTAACCAAGCATACAATAAGTAATGAACTACACAAAAACAGTCTGAAATCACGCATCCCAAAGAAGACTCCACTCCTCTTGAAACGACACAGAGATGCTAGGCTAAAATTCATTAGAGAGTATAAGGATAAAGAATATTCATTTTGGGAAAAAGTGCTATGGACAGATGAAACTAAAATAGAGTTGTTTGGTCATAATTATCGAAATCATGTGTGGAGGAAGGGCGATGAAGCCTACTTACCAAAGAACACGCTGCCAACTGTAAAGTTTGGTGGTGGCAGTATCATGATCTGGGGCTGTTTTTCTGCAAAAGATGTTGGCAGAATATCAATAATAGATGGCAAGATGAATGCCGAAAGATACCAGAACATCCTGCAAGACAATTTAATGCGTTCTATTGAGAGACTTCGGCTACCTCCTGATTGGGTTTTCCAAATGGATAATGATCCTAAGCATACCGCTAGATCTACAAGGAAATGGTTAGCTGAAAGTAACATTGATGTCTTACAATGGCCAAGTCAGTCCCCAGACTTGAACCAAATCAAGAATTTATGGCGATATTTGAAAATTCAAATTGGGAAAAGAGCACCAACAAATATCAAGAATTTGAAGACAATATGCCAAGAAGAATGGGACAAAATACCACTCAATGTGTGCAAATCATTAGTTGAGACGTACAGGAATAGACTGGTAGCTGTTGAACTCAATAAAGGATATTCCACAAAGTATTAAATTATGTTAATATGCTTTTTTTGTTTTGTACGAATACTTTTTTCATCAGTTAAAATGAAAAAAATGTATTAATTTCTGTTAGAATAAGAATTAATTAAGTTTATTACTATTTTTTAATAAAATGTATCTTTACACATAAAATGTATCAAAATTTGTTTTAGTTAAGGGTTTTACATTTATAAAAATACAATTTTTCAAGTGTACGAATATTTATTTCCCACCACTGTATATATATATATATATATATATATATATATATATATATATATATATATACAGTGGGGGGGAATAAATATTTATATATATATATATATATATATATATATATATATATATATATATATATATATACACACACACACATGCTAAATAAATATACACACTACAACAACATTGTCTTGGTGGCTCAGTTTTCATTTGAATAATATGTCCAACCTTTCAAAACATTTACAACATATCTGTCCACATTCACAATTTAGAAAAATTCTTGTTGAAAATACTTCTATATTTTTTCATAAAGAATAAACATAAATTAAAATTCTTGAAGCTATCTTTATTAATCAATTGAAACCAAACCATAATAAAATTAATTATGAATACTGCACAAATGTTAAATTCAACAATTTTGTTCTTAATAATTGCTTGAACAATGCCTAATGGGTAGGTATTGTTGCAGAGAGTAGAAGTAATAAACCTGAGTTCATCATCCAACTTGATGTCCAAACAGATCATGAGAGCCCTATGAGTAAGGGTCTTAGTTAAATTAATTTTGTGTTTCCTGGGACAAAATGAATCCCAATGGATAAACAAACCAGTAAACATCAGTTTATGGTAAACAGAAGTAATAAAACCTGACGTAGATCTGCTGATGAGTACATCAAGAAAGAGAAGAGATGAATCAACCTCCTTTTCCTGTGTAAATTTCAAGGCCGGATGCATATTGTTAAGGGACGAAAGAAATTAGTCCACTTTAATCTTATTATCAAAGAGACAAAAAGTGTCATCAACATAACAGAAATAAACGACAGGTTTATCAGATTTTAGCAGTACACTCTCTTCCTGGAACCCCACAAAGATATTTGCTAAGATGGGCCCCAAAGGAGAACCCATTGAAACACCATCAATCTGCCTGTACATGATGCCGTCGAATCTGAACTCAACTGACATTGTGGCAAATTTCATCAGTTCAACAAATACGTTTTCTGGAATTACAGGCGGAGACAATTGACTACGATATAGGGCATCGGCACATATATTGATAGTCTCAGCAGGTGGAACGCAAGTAAATAAACTGGCGTTATCATATGAACATACAAATTTCTCCATAGGCAAATAACACTGCATAAAATGGGAGAATTCCAATGAATCTTTAATACAAGAGTTATACTGCTCCAAAACCGGTTGCAGTATAGTGGAAAGCCATTTAGCCACACCGTGTTGAGAAGACCCTATCATAGATAGAATAGGTCTCAATGGTGTACCAACCTTATGAGTTTTGGGTAAGCCATAGAGACATGGACGAATGGAGCTTGAGGGTCTAATCAAATTTGAAATATCAGTGGACAATTTTCCACTTTTTACCCCACTTAACCAGACGTTTTTGGTACTTAGACTCAATAGATAATGTAGAATCAAATTTATCTGTTGGGCCTAACTGGACAAATTTAGAGGAATCCCCAAGAATTGTCATCATCTTGTTAACATAATCCTGATAGTCAAGGATAACGACACCAGTACCTTTGTTGGGTTTTGTAATTACCAAAGCTCTATTATTACGAAGGGTTTTAATTACCCGAAATTGCTCTTCATTCCAATTCAATTCATTATGTGAAATGGGAGTACCTGCATAACAATGTGCGATATTATTCAACTTTGCCTCGAGGTTGCTGACTTTGCTTGCAGATTCAGGTTGGAGTTTAGCTAGCTGCGCAAACAAAACCTCAAACTCCGAATACACCTTGCTTAATATGTGAGGGGGGAATACAAAAATCCAGTCTGTGTGAGAGGATTGATAGTTCAAGCTTGAACAACTGGTATGAAGACAGATTCAAGACATTTTGACCAATACTAGGATTAGCATAACATCCAATTTTTTTATAAATTAAATGTTGCAACTTATTCTGATGTTTAATCATAAATTGAGAACGTCTGCATTCATGAATAAGTGCTGCATAATGGACATATGTATATAAAAATATATATGTAATTTTTATATATATTATTTATATATTATATATATGCAGTACTTATTGGAAATTACTCAGTATCAGTGATAGCGCTAACATATTTAGTTGGATTGATGTAAGTCTGTGATCCTGGGTATCCCACCCTTGTAATCGTCAGACAATTGGCATAATTGTAAAATCAACCAATCTAAACTATGTATCCATATAAAATATAATGGATATAGGATATGTATTTATTGATAGGTCTGATTTTTTTTCTTATATGTCTGATGGCTAAGGATAAAGAGCTTGGATATGTTATGTAGTTGGATGAAGACATCTTCAAATGAAAAAATAAAAATTTTTCTGTGCCAATAATTCCTTATCACATTGTGATTTCCATGTCATATTGTGGTCACCAATCTCAGTATCAGTTGGTGCAAAATGTTGGATTTTACATTCAAAATGAATGAATGCTAAGTGAACATTGTTTTGGAAGTTTTATTTTTTCTTTGGGATTGTCCTTCACTTTGTTAAAAAGTCTTTGATCTTTTGTTTCGCTTATCCAAGTATTTAGTTTCAGAAACAAAGTTAGCTGATTGACTATGGACTTAAGAATGCTGGTGTTAATGAGGTGTTAATGAGATGATAAGTAGATGATACTTTTCAAAGGATTTCATATATATTTTTATTTTATTTTATTTATTAAACTTTGCTTACTACCACAATTAGCTTACTATTTGAATTTTTAAAAATTAAATTTAAAATTAATGTGGGGAAGAAGACCAAACATATTAAACATAATTTAACCACATCATAAAATATTTTAATAATAATTTCAATAAAATAATAAACATAAAACAATATTCTAATCAGTTGAAAAAAAAAGATTTTTTTGTGTATTAAATAAATGTATGATAAAAAAGCCTCAACTACCTGGTTTTCTTGACAGAAGAGATTATTGCTTAATTATTGGAACTTATATTTTAGCTTATTAATTATCATTATAGACAAATGTTAATTAACTGTCCCCCTCATTTAATTTAAAAGGGGGTAGGATGACTAAAAAAAAGGGGGGGGAATGTTGGAGTTACGTCCCCTTATTTAAGCTCTCTGATCAAGTCTGCCATGTCAGCTTGGTGGACGAAAGCTGACGGCCGATATGTCTTTTGTTGAGTTGAACAATTTTGACGTCCTTCAGTATTTTAAGATGAAAAGAGTCAAGAATGAACAAATCCAAATGCAAATGAATAATTACTTGAAACGGCGGCAATACCCGGTGAGTTGTTGTTTGCATTTGTTCATTTCTTTAATGCAGCGGGCATCTATCTTTGTATCTCTTTCTTGAAAAGAATAATTGCACGAGAGGTGTTTTTCTTCTACGGTTGTTCAATGGTGCATTAATTTAAAACTTGTTCTTTCAATTTTAAGATGATAAATGCATTTTTAGTAAAATTATTTCGACTCGTTTTTTTCTTTCTGTTAAAAATAAAAGAATACTTTCTCTTTTAGTTTCATAGCAGTTTAGTTTTTTAGTTGTTTTGATAAAAGCCGAATCACAAATTAGTTGATTTACAATTTACATTCCTGCTATTTTTCTTTTGTCTTATATTTTAAAACTGAATTAAAAAGGGTTCATGAATTCATATAGTGGAAATTGAAACAAAACGTGAAATAGTTTAAATATTAATTACTATGATCATTTACAAGGTTTTATTTCAGATATTTAATTTGTTTTTGTTACTTAAGATTTTATCACTAATGTCCATCCATAGATTCAAATAAACACATGCAATGTTTTCTACTCTTAGTCTTCATAAGTCTTGCAGTCTTGCTTGATTTATTTTTATTTTATTTAGGTGTGTCTGTTTATTATTTTCGTGTACTATTTTTTTTTTTTTTTTTTAATATTTTTTCTAAATCATAAATAATCTGTAAATATGATTTTTGGCGGGTAGGATAAGAAAACAATTAAAACTTATTTGTTTATATTCGATTATTTTTTCTAAACAAGAAAGTAGTTAATTTATTTATTATACTCAAACATATATTTCCCTTCCACGAAAATAAATAAATTTATTTATTAAAAAAAATGAGAAACTGGTGTAAAAAAAAAAACCCCCAAAACTTATCGGTCGTGGTGTTTTGCTTATTTTTAACCTCGTGCATGAACTTTAAGTGATTATTTGCTGTGTCTAATATCGCGGAAAGCTTTTACAACTTTCAATAATTAAAAATTATTCGAAGCTTTTAAGTTTTGTTTGTAATAATGAAGATATTAAATATCTGCAACACCCCGTAAGAACAAGAGACTTTCACAAGTTTCACTAAAGATCTAAAAAGCCGGAAACGAAAGTTACTTTCAAATTTAAATGTTTCCATCGATTATCGAATTAAAAGTAGAGATTATTATTACAGGTCGAAATGTTATGAATTTTAATAAAAAAGAAACTTATAAATTGAAACTTTTAACATTGTTTTACTTAAATCATTTGTTTCAACATTAAAGACCGTTTTCTTAAAAAAACACGTGGGGGGGATGTTCTTTCGTGTTTACTAAAAAGAAGTCAAGGCGGAAAATCAGAACGTCTTTTTCCTTTTTAGAAAAAGAAATATCTGCAAGAATTATGAAATGTGTATAATTGACATATCGTAAAAAGTACTGAAGATAAGTGTCAAGGGAGACTAACCTTCCCGGGATGATTTAAAAAAACATGTTCTGCGCTTTTCGATTTTGTTGTCCTTTTTGAGTCCGTGAGATTTCGCGCTTTAATTTCACGTCACGCTGTCATTTTTTTTTCTTTCCTATTAGTGATGTCCAAAAGAAATGCGAACTTCGCTCAGATTTTTGCATTATTGGAAAGAACAGGCCATATTTTACACTGGTTTTAAACTAAAACGAAAGTAACGTGACTACTATTTAATTTCAGTGTTTTAGTCAGGTACAGGGTCACAGTAATAATGCTTGTGTAGCCCGTAGTTTTTTGTTCTGTCGTGTTGTAGTGTTTTTGTCTCATATTGAATGATCCGTTTGATAAGACACCTTCAAACAATAATTATTTTTAAACTGATGTTTATTCAACAAGAGAATATTCGGAAAGTAATTTTGTCTTACCATGAAAGGGAAAGTAATGTTAAATTTATTATTTCAAAGATCTATTCTAATTCCAGTACTGTGCGAATTAATTGGGACAAAAAAATAGAGAAATGACATATTATCAAATTATGTTTTGTTTTTCCAAAAAGCTGTACATAACTGTTCTAAAATGTATCAGTATTTTATATGTCCGCCTCTATTTTTAATAAGCATTTGGACACCTTTTGGCATAGATTCGACTAGTTTCACCCACATGTTGTCCAATTCTTCATTGTGATACCATATCTAAATGACCGCAATGTTTAGCTTCTCCATGGTGGTTCAGTCGTGTTTTATCAGTTGCTTCACAATACTCCACAAATATTTGATGGGGTTAAGGTCGGAGGAATTTCCTGGTTAGTATAACACTTTTACACCCTCATTTTGAAAAACATTTTTTTTGTGTGTGTGTGTGTGGCAGGTAGCATTAACTTGCCATCTTCATCTAGGTAAAATTCTTTCATTGTAGGGAACATATGGACTTTCAAAAGATCATCATATTTTGTGCTATCCCTTAATTATTCTCAATCTACCGAACCCCTTTGTACTAAAACGGTCCTGGAACATTTTTTTTCTCCTCAATATGGCCATCTTTTATGGGTTCACCTTTGCTTCTCTGTACAAAGCAGGAGTGATGATCTCTCACTTCAAAATGCGTTTCATCTGAGAACAACACGTTTTTTCCAATCTTCCACCATCCAATCTTTGAGATTTTGCCCATTGGAACTGTTTATCCTTCATTCTTCCTGTCAAAACCTGTTTTTTATGTAGTTTTCTGGCTGGTCACTGGTCATTTCAAGTAGCTGTCTCCTGACAGTTCATATATGGATACACTGAATTCCACTAAATCTGCTGTCGGGTCCCTGCTACTCTGCCTCAAGTTTTTAATGCTGTTTCTGAGCAGTATTGCTTCATTCTCTTTTAGTAGGTTTTTTTTTTCTTTTTCCACAACTTTCCTTTCTCAAAATCTTATGACCCAACAGAGCCTGCCTTTTCACAATGTGTCCAATATTGGGCTTGCTTATCTTGAGGCTTTGGGCTATTTGTCACACAGATTTGTTTTCTATTCTATCTTTAAAGAAATTTAGGTTTTTCCTTCAAAATTAAAAAAAAAAAAAATCTTTGAATTTTTTCTTTGTTTCTGATTGAAACAAATGAAAATCTTTAAGAAGTGCTAGATGTGGTGATAATGAAAGATGTGGAAGAACCTCCCATCCTGTCCATCCTATTTTTATTTGGGTTTCTTCTGAAGAATTCTCTCTTGCATTGTCATGCTGGATAATAACACCTTTTCTGTTTATGTCGAAAGTATCTTTAGCTAATCTTTCATTTACCTAACAAGGTTTCTGGTAATAAAGATTTTTAATGAGTCCTTCCATGTTCTCCCAGACACAATATAAAATCTACTGTGGGTGCAGTTCTGCTTTTGGTGTAGGCACTGGTTTCTCATTTTGTGACATCCACTGTCTTTTTCATTTGCTGTTAACATTCAAAAGCAAAACCCATTTTTCATCACCTCTAACAATGAGATACAAAAGCAAAAAAGGTTGGCATTCAAAGGAATGCTGCATATGGTGGAATATTGTGAGTGAAAGTACACGAGGAACACAAATTCCTTTTTGCAAATTTTCCCAATTTGATTGAGATGTTCATAGACTTTTGAATATGGTATGTTACATTGTTTCTGTTATCAAATCTATGGTGCTTTGACATGGAACAGATTCAGTAGACACTCTCAAAAGTTTTTCATTCAAAGTGGGTCATCTTCAAGAGTGAGTTTTGTCAGATATATCACAATTGTTATTTTTAAATCTTTAGGTCATAGATTGCACAAATGTTGTTCAAAAATGCTTCAGTTGCATTTAGGAATTTGTACAATAATCATTGGTGAGTATTTTTATTTTTAATGTTATAATTCTATAATATAGGATTATAACTTTAGACACACTAGACAGTGTTTTCTTGGTTATTTCATTCATTGTTCATAATCATAAAATATGTAATTACTTTCCAAACACCCTAACATCTTTGTAAGTTCACAGAAACTATACCCAAAATAAATATATATATATATATATATATATATATATATATATATATATATATATATATATATATATATATCTCCAGAAGGTCAAAGCAAATGGTAAATAATGCTATTAACAATAAATGATATTCAGTTGTATTATCCAAAGTGAGAAATATGCCATTTTATCTCCACACATGACAGAGAGTCTCTACACCTTTGTTTAAAAGTGGCTGCCTCAGCTTATTGTAAAGGTCTTTTTTGTAAGCAACAGTATTTATTTTTATTTTGTTGTGTTAGTCTTATTGAAATTCCATTTTTTTTTTTTTTTTTTTTTTTTATTAATAGTGTGTCGCCCATGGAAAGTTGGTAAACGATAGAAAAAAATTAGAAATAAGTTTTCCATACCTTCTGTCATAATTTGAGGTAGATTATTATTGTTGGAAAATTAAGCTAATTACAAAGTTGAAATTTCCATAAAACTAGTCTTATATAAATTCTAAACACTTGGTAAATTACCTTAACCTTATGTCACCTACTGCTGATCAAAAGTACAAAAAAAAAAAATGAAAAATCTATTATCTCGTCCAATGGAATAAAGTCCCTGTACTAAATTGGGATGTGTAGTGTGGTGTTATGGATAATGGCTTGGAATGAGAAATTGGAGAGCCAAGTTCATATTCCAGTCTGGTTTGTTAAATTCACTCACATGTAAATACCCTTGCGGAAGGTATGAATCCATCGCTTCATGTGGTGGGAAATGGGAGCAGAATGTTTGGGGCTTGTTGTAGCTGTTTTAGCCAAGTTTTATCTTTTTTTTTTTTTTTTTTTTTTTTTTCTTGAGGGTACATAATTTTTCAACTTCTTCTTTCAAATAGAACATATGTTGACAATCAAATTCACTTTGTCTACAAGTTCTTTATTGTTTTCATCAGGTATTTATTATGTACAGAAAATTTCAAGCTGAAGAGTTTTTTCAGTCAGTTAAGTGCCATATGTGATACACAATTGGGTGATCATGTCTCTTTTGACAAGGCAGAAGATTTCCCCCACAGTAGGTTGCCATTTCTTTCTGTTGTAGACTAGTTGCCACCCAAGGTTATAGGGCCAGGTCTGGCCGGCTATTCAAGCCATTTGGGTTGGTGATCTGGATTCATACCTTTCTAATGGATATTTGCACATAAACCTAACAAAAAACAGCTTTTTTTATCAAAATCATTCAGTTTGAAAATAATTGCTCTAAAAAGTAGATGTTTACTTTTTAAATATATTTTCATTTCTAAAAGATACAGATGTTGGTCATTTAATGTGTGATCTAGCAAAGCTGTTGATATTACTATGTACGTTCATTACAGTGGCATTCAGTGAGGATTGAATTAACCACATGCAAAAATTGATCTGTGTTCCCATTGTTCCACTAGTGGAACATTTTTTTTATTTTATACCAGACAAGCATTAATTTGATTTTAATGATAATATACACAAAAAAGACTAAAATACAATATATGCTTTACAAATTATGTTAAAATACAACTAAATACATGTCTAGAAATAATAAAAAATGTCTTAATATATGTTCCGCTAGTGGAACAATGAACACTAAAAGATTATTCATTGTACTACAAAATCTGCACTTTAAAAAAAGCTTTGTAGATAATTTCTCTGTTGGTAAAGTCCACATGGTAAATGATAGAAAAAAATTAGAAATAAGTTTTCCACACCTTCTGTCATAATTTGAGGTAGATTATTATTGTTGGAAATTAACTTTATTTGAAATGTGTTGCTTTCCTGAATTTAAATTGCCATTTTTATGCATGACAAACCAGCTGCATGCAACAGGCAACCACTGTGTATATTTTGGGTACAATTTCATGTGTTTAAACTGAATCCCCCCTCCCATGGGGTATTCAGTGTGGTTGCACCAAATAATGTGTCATCCTTGTTCATTGCATTATTAATACAATGAATTTAAATATAGGTAGCTTTTTTGTTTTCTTTGTCACTTTTTGAGTGAATTAAATGATTTCTGCATAACCAACACTGAATTACTTCATTTACATTTCGTTTAATATTCATTTATATTTTTTTAAGGAGACCTCATGTACTTGATTTGGAAAAATGGCCATGGTTAAATTTTGAAAAACTAATAATGCAGAATAAAAATATCATTGTATTTATTTCAAAGAAGAGTCATTCATGATAAGTTGAAATAAATTATATTGCATTTTAGAATCTATTTTTAATATTATTCCATCAATATTATTTGTCCTGACCTGGCATCCTGTCTTTGGTCACCTTCCCATTGCCATAATATAGCGCGCCTTCCCTCTGCCTTTTTCTAGACTTTCATGGTAATTGTTCTGTAATTGTAATGTTTCTGATGATCTTTCCTTCGTAGTACTTAGTCTATGAAGTGCTGTATTAGATTGGTGACGATTTTACACTTGAAATGGCTAGATATAACTAACTTCTATGCTAACAATTTCTTATGTCATAATTCTTGCTTATGAAACTTGCTTTCCAATCAAGTTTGATCTTCAAAAATTTAAATGCAATGTCAATCACTATCTTCCATTTTCTTAGTTCCTGATCTTTTATTGTTCTTTCTTAATACTGTTATTCTTTTTCTTATATTCTTTCACACTCAATAACATTTCTGCATCTTAGTGGCATTGTTGCATTGCTTGGGGTGAAATGATTAAAAGAATATTTGATGCATGAGCTTTCATATCTAAAGAAAAGACAAAATATAATGGTCAGTACAGAAATATCTTGGAGTAGTAACCTTAATACCTTACGGTGTGTCTATCATACATTTCATATTCCTCCGCAGTCTTTTGAACAGAAGTAGAGGTTTATCCCCTGTTTCCTGTTCGAGATAAGGTTTCTGTTTTTTTTCTAAAGTCTTCTCATTCTTTTTCACTCCCAGTATACCCCCTTGCGTGTTAAGTGCATTTATTGCCTTTCTCTTTCGCTTCCACTAGCCTTTTGCATGTATCTTAGTGACACTATTTGATTAAACAAACAAAAAATGAAAAGTCTCCTCAGGAAGAATTTTAATACAATTTTTCCTTAACCTCTTATAGTTATTTGTTTCCAATAAGATTTTATTTTTAAATTTGCTTTCTTTACAAAAAGATTAAAACAATTTCTGGCATCAGCAAAAGTATTTCTTAGTCAGACGTCAATCTTTGTAGTTAAACCAAAACAATTTATTTTGTTGGAAAGAGAGAAAAAAAAAAGGGAATCAAAGTTTACCTTTTTAAACTTGTGTGTCGTGTTGCATCCAACAGCCAATCAATATAAACTTTGATCGAGGAGTTCCATATTCCAAATCTCTAAAATAAATGTACAGGATTATTTAATCTAAGAGGAGAAAAATCATATTTTACTGACACAGTAAATTTGATTTTAAGATTATAGAATTATTCCTTAGAATTACATGCACTTCAAATTTATTTAAAAACCTTGATTTTTTTTTTTTTTTTTTTAAAGCAAAATTACACCCAATTAATCTTAATCCACAGTATGTTCATTGCAGCTTAGTCTCAAAGAATTATTAAGAGTAAATTCTGTTTTTGTATTGAATTTATTAATTTAAGAAAGACAATTGTTCTGCCAATTTAAGTGATTTGACATGATTAAAATTGTTGTTTGGGATGATGGTAAAAAAAAAAAAAACAAACCTTAAGTTTAACAACAATTTATTAAGAAAACTTTAGTTGGGATCCACTGAATTTTCCGGTGCTGCAACCAAATTACTGCAAAACCTATCACCATGAGTTATTCATAATTTGTGTTGAAATGGAATTTAATTTTTTTCTTTTTTTTTTTTTTTTTTTTTTTTCTAAGCATTTGTATTTTGAAAACAATTTAAGAGGAAAAAGCAAATCACACTTGTTACTGTTTGTGGAAGATGACTTTAAAGTTTAAAAAAAAATCTCAATTTCTAATTCTTTTTCTCTTCCACATCCTCCACTACACTGTCTCTTTTCTCTACCAGTCTCTCTATCTCTTTGTCCACACACACACACACACACACACACACACACACTCTCTCTCTTCTACTACACCTTGTGTGGTTTATCTTTCATTTCCTTGTTTCCCAGTGTATGTTGATTGTTGTCTAATATGCCTTGTCAGTGATATTCATGCTCACATGAATTCTGCACTTGCTTGTTTGGAAACCGAAATTTTCTCATTCGTGTCCATTTTTTTTTTCTTTTATTTCCTTTTTTATATGCTGACTTAAATTTCTCTGTTTAGGAAAATGTCATTCCTGGAAAGAAGACATCTCAGTTTATCCAAGGAGCTGCTGAGTTAGTGTCTCACAATACTGTCCAGCATTTGTCCACTCTGAACAATGTCCTTGCCTATAGCAGCATTACAGGTGATATTGCTGCTTGTGAACAGCAGTTCAGTCGGTAAGTATAACTCATAAGCATGTATTCCACAACATAAGGATTTTTGAAAGAAAAGTGTTCAGAAAACTATGAAAAATCCTCTTTTTATAATGTGGGATAACTTTTAAGGTGTTCATTGCTTACCATAAGATAGTTGTTAGCTGTTATTAGCTGTTTCCTTATAAGGAAATATTTTGCATTAATTGACCAGGCAGCCAGTAATACTATTAGTTAAAATTTATAAAATCTTTGTCTTAAAACAAATTTTCAGGAAAATAGATTGATCAAGTCTGATTGTGACTTTTTATTTGAAGTAGCATCTTGGTTATTTTCTCTTTGAGTTACATGTGCTATCCATTTTAGTTGTTACTGCTGTTGAAAGTCCTCATGTGATGTGGTTTCTGTTATTTGGTAAAGGTCTTTGTTTATGATTCTCTAATGCCAGTCTACAAAGTTTGAAGAAGTGTGATTTTTTGCCAAGACCCACTAACTTCATTTTAATCATTTATCTGAGAAAACAGTTATATGCAGCTGACAGTTTAGATATTTCTGAACGCATTTGATGCTATGCATGACGTCCATATGTCTTGATCTGACAAGACTATTTAAGCACATGACTCAAATTTTCAGGTTAATGTTTTGGTTTTGTAGCAATTTCCTGTGTTGGGTGAAACTACCTCTGGTACAAGCTAGTGTTTATGTTCAAAGTACCTTTTTTAAAAAAGAAATAATCTGATTTTGGGTTGTAGGTAAGGCTGACAACTTTTCAATGCCCCTTCATATTAAAGCTGTTACACAACCCAAAGCTGCAGAAGAAAAATTAACTGACATTTAGCATATTTGATAAACATTGGTGTTTTATCTGATTAAATAAACACTACTTTGTATATACTTGTCTTTTCTCCCTAAGTAAAATTTGTCACTTAGTTGATTGTTGTTACCTTCAGCATCCCAACTTTTGTAGATAAACCTATTGGTCCATTGTTCAGTGGATATCAGCAACTTACTATTTATATTTTTTCAATCTTTTCTTTTTATACCCATTTATCACTGGTGTAAATTTTCTTCTGTATTCTCTGTATTTGTGTGTGCACTTGTCCACATGCTCCTGTCTTGCATGGATGTGCATCATGATAACCCCCCCCCCCTTTTTATCTTAGTCTTCTGGGTTTGTTCCAGCTCTAGACATGTGACCTATTTTTATTTATTTTTATTTATTTATTTATTTTTATTTATTTTTATTTATTTTTTATGTGCAGTTTTTTTTGTTTTTGTTTTTTGGCTAGTGATGTATTTTGTCTAAGTTTTTATATAAATAATTGGTATTGCTTAGGTTATATATATATATATATATATATATATATATATATATATAATACCAATGATGTTAATGCTTAAATACTTATACATATAAATACACATATTTATATATATTCACAGGGGTATTGTTTTTTTTTCACAGCCAGTGAATGCATGCAAAGAAAGTAAGGCACTTGAAAGAGCAGGTCCACATTTCTTTGCAACTGATTTAATAGAGATCAAACAAGATGATCGGTTGGTATTAGTAGCCATATATAAATCACAGCGTAATTCATTTTGATGAGCAAGGCAAAGAAGAAAAACATCCGTATCTGTAGTCTTAATGATAATGGAAGGGAAAGCAGTTGATGCATGCTTTGCATGAAGCAAAAGAAGGTTATCGGCTTCTTCATGGTCAGTTGTTAATTCTGGCAAAGTGTCTGTGATTACTTCATTTGTGTCACTATGAGGACACAGCATGAAACATCCTTGGCTAAATGAAGCAATCACAGTTTTTCCATGAAATTCTTCTGGCAATTTTTTCCAATGCATCAACATAAATAAGATGAGGGATTCTTTATTTTCACCAGACATGAGGAATTTTCGAAATTGTACCGTGTTTTCTGTTTTCATTCAGAGCATGTAACAGATGGCATGAGGTAATCAAACAGCATCTTCTTTCAGAGTCTTTAATACTCCATGGATTGTACTTATCACAGACAAAGTCAACTCTTGATGACATATAAGTAGAAGCAAGCTTGATTACATATCTAAAAACATAAATACTTAGCTCACCAAACCTTGATGGAACATGGTCTGCAAGTTGTTGTATTACTGCCATTCCATCTAATATCAGTGCTGCATTTTTTGGAATATTGTTAATTTTCATATCAGGAAACTTTACAAGAAAATAATGAAATAATGCAGCTTTGTTGGTACGCTGCAAAGAACCATCAATGTTACTTAGGCTAGATGGGAACTCTGAAAGGCAATGTGAAAAAATTTCTTCCCGGTCAACTTTTCGGGTTGTTGCTACTATAAGAAGCCTAGTGAGAAGGTCTTTATCTGCTTTCAAGCAATCTGCTTCCTTCTTGCTCTTTTGTTGTGAATGCTTTTTCTGAAGATCACTAAAAGTTTTTATCTTCATTGATTTTAATGGTGCATTCAACTCACATTTTTCAAAATTAGTTTGTTGAACAAACTGATTAGAAATATTATAGCCTTGTTCATGTGCTGTCAAAATGTCATCTTTCATTTCAGAAGATGCTACTTGGCCAGATGCAATGTTAATTAATTCTTTTTCGCAATATGCAAATGGATTTTGCATAGACTCAATTGTCTGCATGACACTCTGAATATCTGTTTCATCCTTTTCATGACTCAGGTCTTTTTTATTATGGCAGCCCTCTCCTTTTCCAGCCATTTCAGTACAGTTTTTAGAGATTTGAGCACGTTGATTAAAAGATAAAATCCAACGATGAACAGCATTGTCATTATTTGAGAATCCAGTCTGCCCACCTCTGGTCTTGCTATCTCTATTCATTGTCTGTTCAATCGTCTGGTCCATTGCCGTCTGACTAAAGGGGTACTGGTTTTGTTGCTGAACTACAAAATCCCCAGCAGCAAGATGCTTTGCTATTGCAGGGTGGGTATCTGGAACAACAAGCATCTCATAGATATAAACAGGAAGATATCTAGCATAGTTCAAATGGTCATATGCAAAATACCAAGGTACCATTTCTGCTGCTGATTTAAGGTGAAGGGCCCAATCTCCTGTTCGTGTAGCATGAATAAAATTTAAAAACAAATCTGCCATATTCAAGTAACTCATCCAAAATGCAAAAGTTAGAAATTGGCTGCATCTCTCTTGAATAAATAAGGATAGTTTGCTTTCAAACTCTTTAAAATCATTTGATGTGCAGAGATCTTGGAATTGTGTTTTAGGAAAAGCATAATATAAATTTTTAGACAAGACAATGAATTTAGCTTTTTCTTCTTCACTTTGTGTTTCAATAAAAGTAGATAGGAGTTTCCTCCTTAAGGCTTCAGACATAATTTTTATGACTCTGACACTTCGATTATAGTGCCTGCCTTTCATGACTCCAGGTAGTGATCCTTGTGCCACTGTTTCCAGCTTCAAGTAGGACATCAGCTAGCCCCAAATCTTCAAAGCGCTTTCCAATGACACTGAGAAACTTACATGCAGGTGTGGAACTCACCAAGTCTAACAACTGTTTTTGCATATACATGGCATCATTCCAACGTACTTGCTGTGCTTTAGCATAAAATGCAAGATCAAATGTTAATACAATACATTCAGTTTCAAGCTCATCAGCAATAGCAAGACTTTTCAAAAATACTGCATTCACGGTACTTAGTTGAGTTAGGTTACCATTGACCACAGGCAAATATCCAATATTGCTTTTTGGTGGTATTTGGTCCTGTAATAAAAGAATATTGAAACCTGTCCAACCTGGAATTGGAGTAGTGTTTTGGTTGTCACTTTCACAGTGCATATTGATCATGGTCATAGCCTAATCAGTAATGCTTGTTTTGGTCTCACAAAATGATTTAAATAAAGCATTTTGAATGCTGTCAATTGAAACTGAAAGGTAGGAAAGGGCCTACTCTTTTTTTGCCACATAAGAGTTATTTCAGTAAAAAAATAATTTTTCATTCGTGTTAATTGACTCAAAATGTATTGCACAAATATTCAAATTCATTTTCGCTGTATTTTAAAATTTTTTGAATTTAAGGGAGATAACTACTAGCCTAAGAAACGTCATATTTACTCAATTAGTACCTCCCTTACTTGATTTTTTTTATGCTCAGATTTACCGATAAAATATTCAATTTAAAATGCAATTTATAAAAAATGCGCATTCTCACCTGGAGAACTTTTTAGATTTAGACGCTACGGCATCGAAACTCCCGAAATCAAGTAAAATTTTTTCATATAAATTTTATGTCCACGGAATGAAACGAAAATCGACCGTGGCCTATAGCCTATTGACTTATTTTCATTTTTGTATTCTAGTTTATTTGAATATCCATTGTTTCTTAGGGCTGATTCATGTTTTATTTTTATTGAATACTTTTAGGCTACTAGAATTTGTTGAAATTCTTCTATTCATAGATATGGTATTTGTCTAAATATGTTGGGGGGGGGTAGAATTTTTGTCAATGCATATTGGGTTGTTACTTGGTTTCCTGTATGGTTTGTAGGTACCGTTGCTTAGGTTGAATGTTATATCTAAAAATTTACTTTCTTTTATTAGATTTTTATATCTATTGTAAATCCTAGGGTTTTATTTTTTTTCTTTTAGTCCTGAGTCACTGGGACTATCTCTTTAGTTGTGATGTATGAACATACCTACACATATACCTTTTTTTAAACAGTCTGACTACTTTAGTCTAGCACTCCTGGGACTGGCCAGACCACATAAAAATACTGGATGACAGAAATCACCTCTAAATAAAACTCTGTAAACAGTCTTGTCAGCTCACTTGCTGTCTCCCTCTTGTATATATATATTTTCCCTGTTGGCGCTACACTTTTCACTAATATGAAATACCATGTCTCTGCTTAAACTTGTGAAACCATCCTTGTAAATAATGTCATACATTAGGTTTGGTTCCTTATGAAAAACCCTGGTCCGTTCCATAAGTATCTCCCCCACCCCGGAAATGCTTGCACTTTTTAATGTTTTCTGACACTTCAAACTTTTCTGGTTTTTGTTTTCATCCAAAAAATCTGCTCCTTTTGTTTCAGTGGATGATCCATTGTCATATCACATGGAATTTTACAGACATTTTCTAATTTCTTTAGTAATGCCACTTTTCAAGCATAGGAAAAGATGCTTATGCTTACACTTCTTACCTCTAGCACCATCATCTGCACTTCCTGCTCTCTTGGCTAGCAGCTATATAGAAGAAATGAGCAAGACCATATCAAAATACTCTGCTGCAGAAAGTTGTAAACAATGTGTGGTGTTGCCATTGTAGCTGCTCAAGAAATTAATGCCAGCTGATTCAAAAAGGTGCTGGGCCACTGAGTGCCAAATCAAAGATTTGTATGTATTTGGCTCTATAGTCTAGCCTTTCTCATTTAGTTTCTTTTTTTATCACTTTTGTTATTAAATATCCCACATTGTGATAATAGACCTGCCTAAAAAGTTGAAATGTAGGATCCAGGATATAAATTTACCGTGGATGGTCTAGCGATTAAAGCACTTTCTATAAATTTTCAACTTTGTAAATTGCTTTCTCTTTTAATTAAATTAAATCAAAATTTTAGGGTAAGACTCCTTATGGTGACCTACTGATGCATTGAATGTGTTTTGTAAAAGATCTCTTGTGTTCGTTTTATACACATATATATTGTGCATCAGAATGCTTCCTTTTGAGGTCATAGAAAGTTTTGGGCTGCCATGACATCAGATTTTCTCCTATGGTCCCAGCTGAGGGTGACCATTTCTTACCTAGCATTCTGGTATAGCTTCCACATGATTGTAACTATTTGTGCCTACTCAAAGTTGAGCCTTTTATTCAATTCTATTTTGGAATTATGACCAATTGGGATTTGTTTAATTTTTGATTATTCGGATAAATAAAATGGCATAATTTATTTAGCTTGCAGATAAATGGACAGTAATTATTTTAATAGCATTTATAAGTACAATGTATCAAAAACTTCAATGTTGGTGTTATTTTCTGATGGTGTTGGGCGAGGTAACCAAGTCAGTGTATTTTCACTCTAATTCTTTGTTGAGCACATTCTAGATTCTAAATTCTACTCGGCTTGAAATACGTTAAATTCTCGTAATTTTACATATTTCAATAAGTTATTGATTTGTATTATTACTCTTTCTCTCGTGTGTGTGCGTGCACACACACACATATATATTATCAGTAGACTCTCATATAAACAAACTAGAATTATGACACACTTACACACTTAAATTATACACATGGATGCTGCTTAACAAGTCAAATGCACGTGAAGTTTGATTAAAATCAAACAACACAAAAATAGAAATACCAAAAATTTTTTTCCATATCTCATTCTCTGATGAAGTTTTAATAAAAGCAATACGTTAGATTTATAAATGTTTCCTATTTGTTCTTTATCTTATTCTGTCAGATTCCGATCCATATTTGTTCCCAACTTATTCCTATCTGTGTATGATGACGTCCATTAACCAAAATCTTATTTATTTGCTTATTTCCTGTTGCAGATTGAAACAGTTTGTTTGTGAAGCAGTGGAGCCATATCGAAGTGAATTGCAACTCTTCCTTTATCCAGTTTTTGTTCATGTCTTTGTAGAAATGTTGTGGAATGGACACAAAACACCAGGTGAATACTAGTCTATATTAATGGATTATCTGAAAATTTCATTTATTAGTTTAATTAAAAAAAAAAATAATTAGAGGTAGCTCCCTAATGTGTATCTCCCTCTCTTTGACTGAATCACAGTGGCTACCTTACATACAATCCAAGCATATTCCAGGGCTGTTCAAAATTTTCTTGCACATGGCTGCAGGGAATTTATTGAAGTCTTCAAAAAGATCTCTATGCCATATCTAACAGGAGTGACTTCATCTTCACTTGTGTTCCTTATGAAATGCAACAGAATACACTCCAAAGCATTACAGGATCCCCATTAGCTGGTACATTGCTCTTCTGACAGGCTGAATCAATAGCTTCATGAAGTATCTGCCATGCATGCACTTCTTGACCATATGTCTAAAAGAGCTGGAATTGTGACTTACCTGACCAGTCTTCTTTGCTTGCCCAGCTGAGGTGGAGTAACCATAGTACCAATAATGGTAGATAAAAGAAAAAAAAAACTCTCTTGGTAGCAGTGTATACTCTACAGCAGGGGTTTTCAAACTTTTTGACTTGCTGACCCCTTTATATTTCAGGCTTTACCTTAGGGACTCCCTTATAAACGCTTATGAAATTTATACATAAATATTTGCTGAATATAACACATAATTTTGCATTAATGCAATAAAAGCAGATTTAAAGCTTACTTTAGACATAAGTGTTCAAATAAATTAATGCTGCATGTTGCTGCAAAATGTAACAAAATTAAATTTTGTTATATTAAAATATTAATTTTACATGTAAATGAAAACAGTAATAGTATTTAACAAATAGTTTTATTGTCAATTACACACATAGGATTTTTTAATACAAACTTAGTAAGAAGGACGTGCTTTCTTGGCTTTGCACAAACTGTCAATTCTTGGCGATATTACTGATAAACATACACGTAAGTCATTTTCTGCAGCAAGTCTGGATCTGTATTTATTTTTCAGATTGGTTAGTACCGAAAATCCTGCTTCGTATAAATATGTTGTTGCAAACGGTAACAAAATCTTAGCTGCCTTTCGAGATAGCAATGGATACTCGGAGGCTACAGTGAGCCAGAATTTCGAAAGTTGTTGCTGCATAAAACTGATTTTGAAAGTTATGTCGCATGAAATTTCCGCCAGTTCTTCCAGTTCATTTCCTGTGAGCATGCTATTAGCTATTTCAACATTAAACGGATTTCTTATCCAGTCAAAATTTTCAATATTATCAGGAACATCTTTCGAGAAATATTTGTCAAAATGTTCAGCAAGTGATATTAAATGTCATTTAACATCTACAGTTATCAAATCAACATTAACTGAACGATTGTTGCTGAGGTATTCGTCCAGTGTAGGGAACATATCTAAAGTTTTCTTACTAACTTTTGCAGTCCATATATTCAGTTTTTTCTTAAAGGCTTCGATTTTATCATGACTAAATAAGATATTTGAATTTCTTATAAGTTGCATGTCACCCATAAAAAAGTCTTTGCTGTCCACGGACCCCCTATCTTGTCCTTGCTGACCCCTGTGGTCCGCGAACCACAGTTTGAAAACCCCTGCTCTACAATACATTGACAGATAATTGCAATGTCATTAAATTTGGATGGGATTTGATGCAGTGTTTTCCCTTTTTTGGATGGCTGCCACCCTTGTCAGTTGTTGCTGGTCTTGTTTTTGCATCACCCATCATTTGCAGTTTTCATGGGCCCCTGGTCTCTGTCTGGAGTTCATGTACCTTGATGTTACCATGTGTGTGTGTAGGGGGGTTGCTTACTGAGAACAGTTGCCATCTCAAATCATGCCCCAGCTATAACTCTGTGGATAACAGGTTTTAAATCTTGTCTGTATCTCATGGCTGTCATCACTATATTATCTCTTTACCATCACATCTAGCTGGGCTCATTTCTCCAAGTTGGGGAGTGTATAACCATCCACTGTACTGCTCTTCCTTATTTGAGACACTTCAAATTTTAAACATCCACTTCTATTTTATATATGGTGTGTGTGTGTGTTGCAGGGAGGGTATTATCAAATGAAGTTATCCTTTTGAGGAAGTAAATTCTTCTACTGTGCTGTGTTTTATTGCATTTTGCAGGGACTGGGGCACATGTTACCAGCAATAAGTTGTGGCCTGATCTGTTGGGAGAGGTGAATTCATGCCTTTTTCACCTGTAGTCATGAATCTTATAAGTGAATAGAATTGGAGAGGCACCCCCACGTACTGCAGCAGTAGTGTGTCTAAGGCAAGATAGCCTGACAGAGCCAATCTTTCTTAGGCTAGTTTTGAATTCAAAATTTTTCATCTTCAAGATTGGTTGCCACCCAAAGCAAGAGAGTACAGTCAGCTTTGCTATTTAACCCATGGCTGGGCGGAGAAGATTGATACATTTCTCAGGGCTGTTTGTATAATAGTGAATGTAACAAACTTGGTTCACTCATTAACTGTTAATCTACCCACTCAGCCATTTCACCCAAAGTCGTACAAAGTGAACACAAATTATTCTGGCTTGACTTTCACCTAACACTAAACCTTGACATTTAGGTTTAATAATCATTTTAATTCTGTAGAGAATTTTAAAATCTTTTAAAATTCCCATTTGTCAAGATGTTGCACTTTTTAGTTCCCCTTGTGCCAACCTTGGGGTTTTTATTCCAAGCTTTTTTATTTATTTATTTATATTTAAAAAAAAAAAAAAAATAGATATGTGATGAATTTATAATCTACACAAATTAGTCCATCTTTAATTGACCATTATATAGGAATCATTGTGTCATAAACCGGTGCTTATTAATTCATTCATTCATTTTGTTTGGCAGCACACAAATTTCACAGTCGATATGCGTCATTCTTTCGAGATGATCCTGATCACCATGAAATCTTGGATGCGTTAGTAAAACTTAACAGTCGAGAAGATGTTCTCGCTTGCAAAACAGTTGCAGAGTTCAGGTAATTTTTTTTATTTGCCTTGAAATTCTCTATTTTCATGGTCTTTAAATTTGTTTTGTAGTCTCTTGAATTGTGGGAAATAAGGAGAAATTTAAAACACGTGTCCCTATTGTTATTTTTATTTATTTTTTTTATGCCTGTTATGTTCTGGTCTTTCTAGTGGATCATTTTAGAGCAGCGGTTCTCAAGGTGTTGGTAGAAGAGGACAGTAGGTGAGGTAGAATCATTGAAAGACAACTGAAGATATAGAAACAGATTTAAAAAATAAATATGATTTCAAAATTTAAGATATTATTATGGATTACTTGTAATTGCATCCATGAATCCCAGTATAAATAGTTATAAATAATTATTGACTGATTTTATCATTGTGATATTTTTTAATTGTATTAAGAATATAGTAACTAGGGATTGCAAAATGGAGGACAGAATTATCAATGATAATCCGGTTATTTCCCTTCAACCCACTCTGCTTTTTATTTTGAAATACTTTTTTCACATAAAATTTGGTGAGGTGCAAGCCAATTTTAATTCCGAAAATACGGCCCAGAGAAAAAAGTTTGGGAACCAGTGTTTTAGAGCATTAACTTTTTTTCTTGATGTCTGTTCTGTGAAGTTCAAAGCAGTGAATGACCAAATTTCATAGAACATACTTGGTTATGCTTGATTCTGATGTTCAAGGACATTTTCCACTCATTCTCATTAGACTGATCTGTTCATTCCTAAAAATTGACTGGGTCTACAAAATATCTTGTGCCTGACTAGCAGTTATATTTAGTTGGAAAGATTTGCAGGAATGGTTTGACAGCAACAGAACAAGGTTTTCTCCTCCATTCTACAAGATATTGAAAATTGGTATCATGAAATTTGTTTGCTCAACTAATTTCTCCTTCAAGTATGAAATGTAATGAATCGATACAAGCAGCACCTTTGGAAATTCCATGATCTATTTTTGCAATTTACAGATAAAATGTACAGGCAATTGATGCATTTTCGATTAGTGCTCTGAAATTTTTGTCTACCAAAATTCGATTTGTGCATACATAATCCTTGATTAGTGCGGTAAAACATTCTTTATTTTAAACATAGTAATTGAAAATTGTTCTTTTTTTTTTTTTTTTTTTTTTATAGTTACCAATGTACTCATTAGCTGCATTAATCGAGGGATTCCTGTACTTTCTGAAAACATAATTTGTATTTTGCTTTTTCAATAATGACTTCTACAGTCACCAGTCTGTACTCAACTGGTGGGAAAAGCTGAATGTTCTAGAATTGCATATATTGTTAATGTTCCTTGTGAAAAATATTCATCTATTCTTGTTATACCATTTGTGTCTATTCAATTCTAACACTTTAACTAGCTTCATTGTTGGTGGTTAAATACTGGTGGTTAAATAATGTCCTTGATGAATGCTTAGTGTTAGGCATTACAAATGAACTGCATTAAATTTTACCATCTTGGTTGAATTATTAATGGATCTTTCTTTTTTCTCTGGTCAGTTATTGTTTACATTTGAACTAAGCAGTCCTAAATAAGAGCAATATGAGAGATATTCCTAGACAATGTATCTCTGTAGATTTAGTAAAAGTTTTAGCTTGAAATTCCTTGGAGGTTACTTGAATTGGCAGATACCTGAAGAAAGCCAGAGGGTGTAATGTCTGGTACATTGTGATAACAACAGAGAAATCCCCAGCAGGATGGATTTATTGATATCGAACAGAAGTACCCAATCGATTATGAACAGATGCATATGTGGTAATACTTGCAAAAATCAGGGAGGCTTAAAGATACATCAAAGCCAGATAAAATGCCTTGAGGGGAGAAAACAGGAGCAACGTGCAGGTACAATCCCTGGTAAAACGGAGGAGGTGCTGACCAGGAGTCATACCACAGCATCCAGTCTCTGCAAGCTACAGTTCCTCTCACTCTGGGTAAGGAGTACCCAAAAGAAGATAAAGTGGGCCCCCAGTGAACAACAAGGGGGCCTGGCAAGATTTCGACATGGACATTTGTGAGATACTCTAGTCAGCTACAAAGAGACGTGGATAGTTGCCTAAAGTTCATGACTACAATAATAATTAGCATGGCATCAGAGAGATTAGTCGAGCCCCGTCTGTCAGCCAAAGACACCCTACACTGCCAACCATAGGGCGAAAAGAAATAAGATCTCTTAAGAAGCTTTTTAAAAGGGCAAGCATAGAGGAGTGTCGACCCCTCGAAGAGCTCCAAGGAACACTCAGAGGGAAATTAAAAACCATATGTCATGCTGACTGGCATAGGAGGAGAAAAAGCAAAGAAGTGAGCAAATTTCCTGTCCAATCCTTTTGGCTTCGCAAAAACATTGTTAGGAGAAAACACAATGGAAAATTGGAGGCATCTCGGGAAGAAATTAACAACTACCTCTGAAATTCCATGAGTGATCCTGCAAAAGAGGAAGAACTGAGTATAAATACCCATTTCATTCCTCAGGAGCCACCAGTGTTTCAACTTGACACCTGCTTGCCCACTTGGAAAGAGATGCAAGAAGTTGTGAGAGTAACCAGATCCACCTCAGCACCAGGACCAAGCAGAGTACCTTAAATTGTGTACAAGTGGTTTAAAGGAATTCTCAAATGGTTGTGGAAAATATTAAGAGTAATATAGAGAAGAGGTAGAATCGTAGAACAATGGAGATTTCCTAAGGGGATATGGATCCCAAAGGAAGAGAAATCAAAGTCGCTGGACCAATTTTGCATAATCTCCTTGCTGAATGGAGCTGTCATGCGAAAAAAGACCCACTAGAACAGGGCAGTCATCTCTTGAAGTCCTTGTCGGCTCCCTTGGTCTCCACTGCCAAAGCCTTCAGACACACTCATTTGATTCTGCGTGATGAAGCAGCCGATTGGTTGAGTGGGAGAGTTTTACATATGCATAGGCGCACTCCGCCAATTCTCCCTTCCTCCAACTGCTCTGCAACACCATACGCATGCATGTTTTCAGGCATGATGTCATGTATCTTGCTCACGACAATCACACTCCTCTCTGATCTGAGGATCACACAAATGACAGCATGGTGCGGGTTGTTTTATCCTGTTACTTTGTCTCAGTGGAGCGGCCTCGGCTATTTCCTCAGTTGTACTTTCTTCTGCCATATCCCTGAGTTGATCTCATTCAAGGATGCCACTTGCATTTTCTGTTGAAGTTGTTTCTTCCTGCATCTGCTCCTCATACACCATAGAGGTTTCTTCATCTGAGGTGGTATGATGGCTGCTAGTAGTCTCCACCCCATGCACCTGGTGAACATCTTTTACATGGCGTGATACTCTGTCTACAAGGACTGAATAAGGGCCATAGACTTTCGTCACTTTCCCCTTCTCGAACCTTGTACACTACCCATGCGGTCTCTTCACCTAAACAACATCTCTAGTGTATGTTCTCAGGGCTCTACGTTGCAAGTGAAACAGTCGCATTTGCGAGTGATTTTTCCAAGTGGCGACTAGAAATAAAACGCTTATCTTTTGGCGACTGTGTTTTTTTTTTTTCACCGACAATCTTCTAAAGCTCATTACTGAGTGAAAAATGTCTGTTCAACATTTTTTTTTTTTTAAAACGAGCAAAGTCAAATTATTTAAACAATAAAACTAAAAGGGTTAATACAAGGGTCGGTAACCTGCGGGCCAGATCCGGCCCGCGAGCCTGATTACCAATGACTCTATTTTTAATATGAGAGAAGAGGCTTTTGAATTCAACAAAAGGCCTGCTGCTATCTTCCTCTGATCCACCCAACCGAATTTGAATACTATGACCACAAAAACACTATCAAAACCCAATCACCTCCATTTCAGTGTAAAAAAATAAAAAAAATAAATAAACATAAAACAAAAACTGAGAGCCGATTTGACCGACCAGCGACAGCTTCAAAGGGACAATGTTGTCTCGGCTTTCATTCCTCCAACAGCGAAACCCCCCCCCCATCTACCCTATGTAAGTTGCTGGAATCTTTCAATGGGCCATGTTCTTATCTAAACATACCCCTCTTCTTCTCAAACAAGAGTCTTTCACTGATTTTTTTGCATGCGGCCTGGCTCGACAGGGGCCATATGTCACGCTTTTTAAAGCTTAATTACTCTGCAAATAAACTGAATAAAATTAAAAATGTTTTAAATACCGAAATAAAATTCAAATGAATGTAATCAGTGCTCTTCATATTTACTTATTCAAAAAGGAATAAATTCAGGATTTTGTTTCGTTTTAGTAATTTCTTTGAAAATTGAAAGTAAACCCAGAAAATATAAAATATTTGTTATGACCCTTGGCTACATTAAAAGATAATAGAAGCGAAAGGAATGATAAAGTGAAAGAAGCCAGGGAGGGACTGACATGCGAAGTAGCAGAAATCTAAAGACAGTTAAACATACGCGCATTATACATACATGCCTCATGAATGTGTGGATGATACCGCATTTGTACGTACGTAAATGTATATGTTTGCAACTGTTTGTACTCGTATGTATGGGTACATGTGCTTCGTTTTTGTTTGATGTGTGTGTGTGGTTTCATTTGTGGAGCAATTTTCAATAACAGTTTCAAACCTACACGTCATAATTTCATCCATTTCACTTCGGTTGATTTTTTTTCACTTTAAAGTATTTTGACGTTCCAAGAGGAAAAGTAATTTTTGTTAGTTGTTTTTTAATTTTAGATTTTCTTTTGTTTTTTCTGATTTCTCAATGTTTATTTTCATTATGGTTTTAAATATTTAGGGTGACAGGGGGTCTGCGTATGTAATTTTCCTTAATTTTTCATTAATGGCCTTTGTCTGGCCCGCGGGGTCGAATGAGTTGCCGACCCCTGGTTTAATAGAACAATATACAAGATATCAATTGGCATTTTGACGACGGCAGCACACATTTTATTCGCAGTTTCATGTTTCATTCGTCTTTCTGAGCATGTGCAAAGATTTAAAGAAACATGGCGATGAAGAAAACAATACTAAAGCCGATATCGTCTTTCTTTGCAA